TACTACTACTACTACTACTACTACGACCACTACGACTCCTACAACTACTACTGCTACGACTACTACTACTACTACTACTTCTACTACTACTACTACTACTACTACTACTACTACTACGACTACCACTACGACCACTACTACTACTACTACTACTACTACTACTACTACTACTACTACTACTACGACTACTACTATTACTACTACTACTACAATTACTACCACTACTACTACTACTACTACCACCACCACTACTACTGCTACGGCTACTACGACTCCTACTACTACTACTGCGAGTTATAGCACTAGAACTAGAACGACGACCACTACCACTACGACTACGACTACTACTACTATAAATACGACTACTACAATTACGACCACTGCTACGACTACTACTACCACTAGTACGACGAGTAGTATTACTACGGCTACTACTACGACGACTACTACTACTACCACTACTATTACTACTTATACTACTACGACCTACGACCTACTACCGACTACCTACTGCATACTACATACTACTACTACAAACTACTACTACTGCTACTACGACTACTACTACTACGACGACTGCTACTACTACTAGGACGACTACTACTACCGTTTCTACTACGACTACTACTACTACTGCTACTACTACTACGACTACTACAAATAAGACCCCCACTCGTACTACGACTGCTACTACTACTACTACTACTACTACTACAACTACTACTACTCCTACTACTACTACTACTACTACTACTACTACTACTACTACTACTACTACTAGTACTACTACTACAAGTACTACGACGACCGCTACTACTACAACTACTACTACTACTACTACGACCAGAGCTACGACTACGACTACGACCACTACTACTAATACAACTACAACCACTACCACCACCCCTACTACTACTACGACTATTACTACTACTACTACTACGACGACTACTACTACGACTAGGATTACTACTAATGACACCATTACTACTTATACTACTACCACGACTACAACTACTACCACTACTACTAGTACTACTACTACTACTACTACTACTACTACTACTACGACTACTACTACTACTACTACTACTACTACTACTACTACTACTACTACTACTACTACTACTACTACTACTACTACTACTACTACTACTACTACTACTACTACTACTACTACTACTACTACTACTACTACTACTACGACCAGCACTACGACTACTAGTACTACTGCAAGTCCTAGCACCAGTACGGATACTAGCACGACTATCACTACTACTACGACTACGACTACTACTACTACTACTACTACTACGACTACTACTACTACTACTACTACTACTACTACTACTACTACTACTACTACGACTACCACTGCCAGTACTACTACTGATCCGACTACTAGTGCGACTGGTACTACTACTGCTACCTCTACCTACTACGACTGCTAATACTACCACTGCTACTTCTACTACTACTAAGAGTACTGCTACTACTACGGCTACTACTACTACTACGCTTATGACCACTACCACCACTGCGACTATCACTACTATGTCTACTACAACCACTATTGGTACTACTACCACCACTACTACTACTACTACTACTACTACTACTACTACTACTACGACTACTACTACTACTACTACTACTACTACTTCTTCTACTACTACTACTACTACTACTACTACTACTACTACTACTACTACTACTCCTACTACTCCTACTACTTCTACTACTACTACTACGGCCGCTACTACGAATACTAATATTACTACTGCCACTACCACCACTACTACTACAACTACAACTACCACATCTACTACTACTACTACTACTACTACTACCACCACTACTACCCGCACAATAGAACGGGAACGCAATAGGAATGCATGCAATGAAAACACAATCGGAAATACGATCGGAATGCAATACAGCGGGTGCGACATGGGAATACAATGAAAATTCTGTAAGACTGCAAGAAGAATGCAATGGGATACCACCAAATTGGACAACGATGGGGAAACAATGGGGAGACCAGAAAAATAGAAGAGGCATACCGTAGGAACGCACTACGATATGAACACAATAGGAACGCAGCAAGAATACCACAACATACCATACAACAGTAATACGCGATACATACAAACAACACATGCACACGGAATACAAAACCAATACTATTGGACTACGCTGGGAACACAGAAGGTTACACACGGAGCGCAATAGTACAGGAATGCATCGGGAACGCAACAACATGTGAATTGGAAGCGTTTTGGACGCGAAAACCACGCGCGAAACACCAAGTGCGCCATGCATTCCGAACACAACCGCTACCCAGGCAATTATCCCTGCAAAGCAACCTAACATCGATGTGTAGGAGCATATCTGGAAGCATTCCCCTTAAGATTCGGATGAGAATCCAGTTGTAGAATTCTGCTGTTCTCGCAGTCGTAGTCGCATTCGCGATGACAGTCGCAGTGGCAAAGGCAGTCGCAGTCACAGCCTCAGCCTCAGCCTGCCTCAGCCTCAGCCTCAGCCTGCCTCAGCCTCAGCCTGCCTCAGCCTCAGCCTCAGCCTGCTTCAGCCTCAGCATCCGTCTGCCTTCAGCCTCGGCCTCAGCCTCAGCCTGCCTCAGCCTCAGCCTGCATCAGCCTCAGCCTCAGCCTCAGCCTGCCTCAGCATCAGCCTGCTTCAGCCTCAGCCTCAGCCTGCCTCAGCCTCAGCCTCAGTCTGCTTCAGCCTCAGCCTCAGTCTGCCTTCAGCCTCGGCCTCAGCCTCAGCCTGCCTCAGCCTCAGCCTGCATCAGCCTCAGCCTCAGCCTCAGCCTGCCTCTGCATCAGCCTGCTTCAGCCTCAGCCTCAGCCTGCCTCAGCCTCAGCCTCAGTCTGCTTCAGCCTCAGCCTCAGTCTGCCTTCAGCCTCGGCCTCAGCCTCAGCCTGCCTCAGCCTCAGCCTGCATCAGCCTCAGCCTCCTCAGCCTGCCTCAGCCTCAGCCTGCCTCAGCCTCAGCCTCAGCCTGCTTCAGCCTCAGCCTCAGTCTGCCTTCAGCCTCGGCCTCAGCCTCAGCCTGCCTCAGCCTCAGCCTGCATCAGCCTCAGCCTCAGCCTCAGCCTGCCTCAGCATCAGCCTGCCTCAGCCTCAGCCTCAGCCTGCCTCAGCCTCAGCCTGCTTCAGCTTCAGCCTCAGTCAGTGCCTTCAGCCTCGGCCTCAGCCTCAGCCTGCCTCAGCCTCAGCCTGCATCAGCCTCAGCCTCAGCCTCAGCCTCAGCCTGCCTCAGCATCAGCCTGCCTCAGCCTCAGCCTCAGCCTGCCTCTGCCTCAGCCTCAGCCTGCTTCAGCCTCAGCCTCAGTCTGCCTTCAGCCTCGGCCTCAGCCTCAGCCTGCCTCAGCCTCAGCCTCAGTCTGCCGTCAGCCTCGGCCTCAGCCTCAGCCTGCCTCAGCCTCAGCCTCAGCCTCAGCCTCAGCTGCCTCAGCCTCAGCCTCAGCCTGCTTCAGCTTCAGCCTCGGCCTCAGCCGTGCCTGCCTCAGCCTCAGCCTGCAGCCTCAGCCTGCAGCCTCAGCCTCAGCTCTCAGCCTCAGCCTCAGCCTCAGCCTCAGCCTCAGCATCAGCCTGCCTCAGCCTCAGCCTCAGCCTGCCTCAGCCTGCCTCAGCCTCAGCCTCAGCCTGCTTCAGCCAAAGCCTCAGTCTGCCTTGAGCCTTGGCCTCAGCCTCAGCCTCAGCCTGCCTCAGCCTCAGCCTGCATCAGCCTCAGCCTGCCTCAGCCTCAGCCTCAGCCTGCCTCAGCCTCAGCCTGCCTCAGCCTCAGCCTCAGCCTGCTCAGCCTCAGCCTCAGTCTGCCTTCAGCCTCAGGCCTCAGCCTCAGCCGGCCTCAGCCTCAGCCTCAGCCTGCCTCAGCCAGCCTGCCTCAGCCTCAGCATCAGCCTGCCTCAGCATTCAAAATGTGGCCCGGGAATGGAGTTCTGGGAACTCGAAGAACACGAAGTGGCCTACAGTTGGCTCCGGGCATTCAAAATCATGCCCAGGAATGGAGTTCTGGGAACTCGAAGATCACGAAGTGGCCTACAGTTGGCTCCGGGCATTCAAAATCATGCCCAGGAATGGAATTCTGGGAACTCGAAGATCACGAAGTGGCCTACAGTTGGCTCCGGGCATCCAAAATGTGGCCCGGGAATGGAGTTCTGGGAAATCGAAGAGCACGAAGTGGCCTACAGTTGGCTCCGGGCATCCAAAATGTGGCCCGGGAATGGAGTTCTGGGAAATCGAAGAGCACGAAGTGGCCTACAGTTGGCTCCGGGCATCCAAAATGTGGCCCGGGAATGGAGTTCTGGGAAATCGAAGAGCACGAAGTGGGCACGAAGTGTGTGACTGTATGCGAAAAACGATCCCCGCCGGCAAACCCCAACAGCCCCCCAACTGCCCCCCAACTGCCCCCAACGGCTGCCCAGACCCCCCTGTGGAGTAATGTTGAAGTAATGTTGAAGTAATGTGCTGCTCTCTTTTAAGACCACTAGAAACCTATCAATCTTCGCTGTTAGGTAATATACAAAAAGAGCACGCGAATGCGGCGCGTGATTTTGCGTCGACACGAACATGACAATGTCTGCACCGAACAAGTCTGGAAGGCAACGTTGCCGTTGGGTCGACGGCCAAGCCCGCAGGCCCCCAAACCGCCGCGGCTACACAAGACCCAGGCGGGAATCTAAATAGAGACCCACATGCAAGCACGAACGCCCGGCCTTTCGGGCCGGACGAAAAAGGGAGCCCTGAAGCGGTTCGGGGGAGAGGAGGAGAGCGGACCCCCCCGGGGCGGGCCTGTTTCCCGCGCAGCCAGCGGGTCTGGAGCGCAGGGGGCGGCGCTGCCGCTGGCGGGAGCGGCTCCGCTGGCGCGGCGGCAGGTGGGGCGGCAGCCCTGGGGAGAAGCGGGGGACCGACGCATTCGGCGGAGGCGCGGCGGGCTTTTCGGGCCGCACGGTTCTGGCGCGCGGCTGCGCGCACCTCCGCGGGGAGGAGGGCGCAGGGCTCCACGTGGGAGCGGATGGACCGCGGGCCCATGTGACTGCCGCAATGCGCGCATTCGCACTTGCCCGAGGGAAAGCGGGCGGCGCCCGGGACTTCCGCGGGGAGGCGAGCGGGGCGAGGCATCTGATCAGCCGCGTGCTTCCGGCGCCATTCCGCCGCGTGCTCGCGGGCCATGTGGTCCTTGACCCAGCGGCCCGCCACTTGTCGCCATCGTCGACCTTCGGCATCTGCGGCGACGTCCGCCCAGCGCGCGTGCCAGTCGGGCGTGGGAATGTCTGTGTAGGCCACAATCTCAGCGATGCGCTGACCACCGCTGCTGCCGGGTGCTTTGCCCGCGCTTGCGGCTGCTGAAGTGCACGTGTTTGCGAATGAAAGCGCGGCACTCGCAGCCCCAGAAGAGGCAGGCCTCCACAGTTGCGCGGAGGACCCGGCCGATCTGCTTGTCTGCGAGGCCCAACCGCGGGAGCTGCCTGTAAACCTTGTTCCAAATTCGCCCAGCTGCTTCCAGGCGCTCGCTCGCATCAACCTCGCGCCCTCCACCGTCTCGAAGCCAAGCTCCGATGAATCGAGCGGCCCGCTCGCAGAGGTCAGGGCGCTGCTGCGAAGAACCGGGCCCGAGGCAAAGGCGCCCCAACTTTTTCCCGTTCGCAACCTCGCCCCACATCCCAAGAGCGGTCTTGATGTCCTGTTCCGCTCGCTCACGGTCGGGCCCCCGCACGAGGCCGTTCAAGTCGTCCGCGAAGAGAATCAGCAGCAGGTCGAAAATCGCGATGTGTGCGTCGAGCTTCTTGGCTGCGCGGGCCCCTGGGACCCCGCCGACCCTCGCGTTGAACTGCCAGCCGGGGAGCGAGCCCATGCGGATGCCAGTGGAGCCGCGCTCACGACGCAGCCCCCCGCACTCCTTGACGTCGACGGCGGCGTGGAACGAGTTGAAGAGCACTAGGGAGCTGGGGCAGCCCTCCCGGGAGCCGACGTCGAAGAAATACGGTTCTGAGTCGCCCTCCCGCGTGCGTACCTTGCACGACACGTTGTCGTGGAAGCCGCACAGGAACTGCAGGACTTCGTCGGGCATGCCCAGACGCGAAATAATCGGCACGCCGCACGGCGCTGACATCGTGGGCGAGCCTTCACAATGTCCCATAGTAAGAGAACAAGGGGTTGGAGCTCCGGCCCCAATCTTGGCTAATAATCGACTGATGATGGAAAGGAAGACGATGAAGCGGCAGTTGTTCAGGTCCTTCTTGTCGCCCCTGCGCTTGCACAGAGGCAGCGCGAGCCCGTTTGTGGCTATATGTTTCCCGGGAGTTGGGATACACCGACCACATCCAGAGCAGGAGCCGATGCACTGCGCGTGGCGCGTGGCGGCCGCCGGCTCGTAGAAGCCCCACGGTGACTTCGTCTTCTCCTCCAGCTGTGCCCCGCAAAGTGGCCAGCGTATTCCGCACCTCCTGGAGCGTTGGTGGGTCGCCGAAAGAGCGGTCGACTGGCCGTTGGTCGCTGGCGCGTTTCACGACGCGCGCCGCTCATCGCCTGACAGCGCGCGCGAAGACAACGAAAAGGGCCCCTGACCTTCTCGAGACGCGCCACAGATGTCAGTTGTGGGGGTAGTCGGTAGAACCTGCCCATGCCCCGGCGGCAGCGCACTTCGTCGAGCTGCTCTACTGTCCGGCGAATCTTTCCCCAGCGGCATTTCGACTTGAACCGTCGTGGGCGGCGGCGTGCTGCGTGGAGTTCTCGACGGGCGGCGCCATCTCCAGCCCAGCCTTGTCGCGAGCGTAGGTGCCCCCAGGCGGCCGCGACCGCTGCGTGGAGGTCGCGGATTTGCTCGCGGTATTCTTCCGCGCGCGGGCAGTGGACCTCGCTGCGACGCTGTCGGCCAAAAGCGCCCTCTGCAGCAGCCGCCAATCGCGCTGTCAGGTCTGCCCATGTAGTCTCTGGCGGCGGTGGGTTCGGGAGCGTCTGCTGCGCGAACCGCGGCGTCGCTGAGCTGCGCGGGCTGCCACGCCAGCGGGAGCGCCCACCACGGGCGCGGGCGCGCCCGTCGGCAGTCGGGGCGCCCGCTTGGAGCTTTCGAAGTTGAGCCGGCCAGAGCTGCGGGGAGGCACCCAGCCAAAGCTGCCAGTCGCCGCGGGCGCCATCGTCAGTAGCGCGCTCCGCTACGTCGCCCCCGACGTCGCCGCTGCGGCCCCTGACGCGTCGGAACAGAATTTTGCGGCGCACCCGCAGGGTCTGGAGCAGGCGCCGGGCGTGCTGCACTAGAACTTCGCGCGACCGAGCCCCCAAAAAGCCTTGCGCCACTCGGGCGGCGCACTCAGAGTCGCATCGGAGCAGCACCGCGCATGCCCCTTGGAGATCCGCGCGCCATAGCCATAAGAGGGCGCGCAGCATCGCGCAGATCCCCCCCGCGCCGACGGCGGCCCGCGCGGCGCCAAGGCAACGCAGGTCAGCAGGATCACGAGAGACAGGCGCATGGCAG